TTCTCAGATTATAAAAAAAAACACTTGGAAGCATTTCACAGAGTCACTGAACAGTTTAGCAGAAAATGAGGCAATTTGGCCATCACGTTTCCAATGGCTCTCCCATGCTTTTCTCATAACCCTGCACATTCAAAGAACAACAGGGAAGTTTTCCACAGGGTCCTGATCATTTTGTATCTCTCAGTAACACCAACAAAACAGATTATCTGTATATTCTATTAGTGGAATCATGTTGTGTGCAATTGATTGTCATATTTCCTGAAATAACTTTTTATTTGTTCATGGAATGTGAGCATCACCAGCTGGACCAATGTTTATTTCCCATCTCTAATTGCCCATGATGAGGTGGTGGTGAGCTGTCCTGTTAAACCACTGCAGTCCATGTGTTGTAGATATATGTAGAGGCTGGTTGGGCCATTTATTAGGCAACCACGTAGCTGTGGACCTGAACTCACATGTAGCCCAGACCGAGTAAGGTAGAATTTCTTTCCTAAAGGACATTAGTGAACTAGATAGGATTAGAATAGTTAGATACTTATTGTTGACTGGGCACTGATGCTATGGACCAAAGGGTCTTTTTCTGTGCTGTAAATCTCTATGACTAATTAATGACAAGATAAACTATTTTTTGTGATGTTGACTGGGGGCCTGAACACCAGCATAACTCATAATGTCTTCTTCACAATCTTGGGATCTTTTATATCCACTCAAACAGGTAGATGGTGCCTTGGTTTAACAACTCATCCAAAAGACTAAACTAAACAGCACAGCACCATCCTGAAATGTGTCACAGCTGTACATAGCACCCAGTAAGTCACAACTATCTCTAAGTCAAAAGTGCAGCAAACAGAGAGGTGATGGTAACAGATCGATGAAGGACAAAAAGCACAGATTGTAATAAGCGATCAGAGAGAAATTGACCTTTGTAGAAACAGAATAACACAAAAAAATCACAAGGAGACAGAAGTAAGAAACTTCAGATATGAGGGTATGATCGTATGAGAGATTAGGAATGTCACTAACCGAACAGACAGATAGACACAAGACATTGTGGAGTAACCGAGGAGGAAGAAAAGATTTCATTTACTAAAATATGACGTAAGATCACAATCAGAAAATGGGAGCAGATAAATAATGGAGAGGAAATGCAGATAAGAGAATGCACACAGATGAGACTATGTAGCAATGACATATCAAATCAATGAATACGCAGGAGGGGACAGTCAGTACTTCTGTTACCAAAGCGCACTGACCTTTCACTCTACTATTACCCATTGCCCCTTCTGTTCTTCCCAATATCCCCAAATGTACAAAACAGATGACACATGCACACCAACCACATTGCTTCCACTATCAGAACAAATCTACTTCCCAGTTCTGAATACTGGGTTGATGCCTAGAGGGGTACATGCATCTGAATTGAATTGAATTGAATTAGCTTTATTATCACATGTACTCAAATGAGGACAGGGAAAAGTTTATACATTGCTACTTACAGTGCATGTGTTGCATATAGGTTATTCCGAATTCTCCAGGGGTGGGTATAGAGCTTAAGGAATGGTTACAGACTGCCCAGGACAGGCTTCCAATGGGTGGTCTACACTGAGGCTCAATGAAGAGTCCTGTGGGACCCACAGAGAGGTCCTCTGGGGTTAGGGTTATATCGAACCCTATCACAGGTGAGTGAGCCACTGATGGTGTCTGTGAATGACTGACTGAGGGGTGAGTAAGTGAGTGACTAGGGAAGGGTGCTTGAGAGACTGAGCCAGCCACCTGCCCCCTCCTCAAATTCTGTCCACAAAACAACAAACCATCGCCCCCTCCTCTACCTTGCCTTCATATGCTGAAGCCATCTCAGAGTGCACGCCACCAGAGGTGAACCAAAGTCAATGTTAAATAGAAAAGTACAAGATTTCACTCTGCTTGAGTCCCTGCTCCCCTCCCTTGTGGGTTAACTTGAGAACTAGCCTTATTCTCTCTCTGCCTGTGTAAGGGATCACATTCTTTTTCATTTTTGTACTATCTAACTGAAATTCCAGCTGAAATTTATCAGCTTGGAAAAATCAAGTGGTGCACATTTTTAGCTGTGCCAGTTAAGATTTGTTTTGAAGCAGTGAAGGGCTACTTTAAGACAGCATGGCACCAAGAGACATTGAGTTAAGGGAAAGACTGGTTGATGAGTGCCTTTGGATTGGTTGAGCTGCAGCTTGTTACTAGGCTGTGAGGTCAGGCAGCCAGAAACATCCAGTTCTCTCCCAACTCTCTATCTCTGCGTGAATAGACAGGCAGAACAAGAAAGCTTAAAAGAAAGATTTCTAACGATGAAAATATCCAGATTCACTGGATTTGCTACTGCGGTGAAGAACAACCATCACACTACAAACAGCAGCGTGTCATCGCTGTTAGAATCAAAAGAAATTGGGAAAGATAATTTAACCCAGCCTTGTGATCTGACTTTTCATCTTCAGGAGATAGTAAGGACTGCAGATGCTGGAGTCAGAAATTACACAGTATGGAGCTGGAGGAACACAGC